GGGGAGGCGGGGGGGAGGGGGGGAGATGAAAGAGAAAGGAGAAAAAGATCGTGCCCATTTTCCAGACTCAATAATAAAACTTTCTTAAATATTTTAAAAGTGAAGCATATAATTTGGTGTTGAATATTAAATTTTTTGAGGAATAATTTAAGGAGCATTTTTATACTGTTGATTAAATTAATCAAAAATCATTATTGTCTGCTACCGTATTTTAAACCAAGTGTTCATCGTTTCCAGGCCAATCTTCCCCCACCTCCAGCTGGTGGTATGGGCAGTCCATTTGGTTCCCGCCCGTCCAGTGCCAGAAGTAGCCTGTCCTCTGTCCGCAGTGGCTACTCCACCCCCAAGTCTCCAGCCTCCCAGACGTCCAGCCAGGGAAGACCAGCTGCAGTGGACATTGGGGCAGGACTGGCCATTGGAGGTGAGATGGGGGCGTCTGTGGAATGATATCTCTGTCTGCCTATATATTGCCCATGCTCACCTCTGATTCTGCATAGAAGTCGCTGAAGACCTGTTGCCATATAAAATATACTTTTAATTCCAACTATTTTCAGTTTTCCTTTTTTCCTAAATTTTTTAACTTTCTTTATAACAGACTTAGCCATTTAAGGTGACATTTTTCTGATTTAAAAGAAAATATTATAATTATGCAATTTCATGCGTATGTAGTCTTTAGTCACTAAAGGCCTTTTGACATATATTGCTGATGCCAACTCTTTCCGTTTTTTTTTTTTTTTTTTTTCCAAATCGTTTTTAATATCTGTTGTGGTGGCAGACTAATATCTACTGAGTTAGAAGAAATTTATTATTATTATTATTATTATTATTATTATTATTATTATTATTATTATTATTATTATACACTAATGACTGTCTTACCCTTTCTATTTCAGGTGTAGGCGGTAGTCCAGCAAGTTCAAGAGCATCTTCAAGAAGCAGTCGTAGCAGCAGACGATAACCTTGGCAACTCTTATACACGGGATATTCACCATTTTCACACGACTTTGAATGTGCGTAGTCAGTCTTGGTTGGGAGGGGGGGGGGTAAATTTGGACATTTATAACACATTGAACATCATGCTGGAGAAGATGAAGAAGTGTGATGCCTTGATGTGATTATCTGAAAAAGTCGATGATAATAATAATAATAAAACGTCCATCAATTTTGTGACCTTGGATAGCAGACTGTGATATGTTATTTACTTTATGTAAGGTACAAAACCAATTGTTTTTACGTTTTACATTTAAATTGTATATATTTATCCACTTGTAAATATTTGATATATATATTTTTTTCATTTACAAATGATTCAGTAATGAAAATAAACTATTTATCAACCTTCGATACTGTGTTGGTTATTTTCTTTTTTCGAAAAATGAAAAAAATAGTTCCTTAACCTCAATGTGTCTTATTGGCTGTAATAAGAACAAGTACCACTGACACTTCGCAAGATCAAGTTGCCATGCCTGTCTTTTTTTTTTTTTTTTCTTTAAGCTAAATCAAAGTTTGCAGCCGAGGTGGGAAGAAAATTCATGGCGATATAAATAGCATTTTAGTTTCAGATTTGTGTCAGGTTCAAATACAAAAAGAATTGCAAGAAAGGGGTTTCATCACATTCAAATCCGTCAAATAACGTTTCAATATCGCTTTAAAAGTATCCAAACACATCGTTAAAGAATTGTCAGGAACAAAAATAGCTTTAGAGGTGTAAGTGCATGAGGACATCTCATGCTGCTAAATACTTCAAATTTTTTAACGCGGATTTTGATGATTTATTTTTTCCTGACTCCCACAATGAGGCCCATATACAAAAGAGATATACATGCACTTTAAGGCGTACTGTGCTCTAGGAACACAGAGCGTTCACTGCTGTTTTACAGGATAAAAACTTTTAACCCGGTTTTTCATCACAGTATACCCTTAACACTTCTTTCTACAAACTGAATGTAATGTAATTAATACCAGATCAAGTAAAATAAGACGGTGGATTAAGGGTTGCCTCGCTTTGATCCGCAAATATAATATCGATGAGATGCACAACTTTGGGACATGTTCTCCAACGACGTGGGCCCTGTCACGAGTATAAATGACCGATGGTTGGAGAGCTCAGCAGGTCTTCTTCTGAGATATTCCACTTTATGATGACACCCCCATGCTTATCAAAAAAATAAAAAAGAAAAAAAGAAAGAAAGAAATCAAATACAGTGTATGTGATATGGAGGCACATTTCTTGGTTTTGTCTCGTGAACTTTGATATAAAATTGACCTTTTTGTGAGCTAAAAAGTAAGGAGTTTAGGAGCTATCCGTAGCTATAAAGCTAAAACACTCCTTCGTTACATAATTTGTGTCGTTTTCATCTATAATTGACATAATGAGGGTGGAATTATATGGATCTTTACATTCGCTGTTTGGTAGAGGTATGTATCGTATAGTTTTCATTGCTTTTAATTGCTATTAATTTAAAGTTAAAATTATTATTAATTTTAAGTTAAAGTTAAAAAAGTTGATATTTATTATAATGGCCATTCTGTGTATACGTAGTTATTGAAGATAGGCCAGCGATGAAGATTTCAACACCCCTCTCTCTCTCTCTCTCTCTCAAAGAGGAACACGGAGAACTGTTCTGAGACAAGTCGAAATGGATCTCAGAAAAAAGTGCTCTGTGTGTGTTCATTCTTTGCCTTTTTTTTTCAGATTTTCAACGACACCCAAATCAACCGTGACAATGCCAAGGGTTCCCGTAAAGATAATCATTGTAGGAGTAACAATCACCCTTTTTGTATGGCAGTTTTTGCTGAATGATGTAAGTGGTAGGCAAAAATGTATATTTTATTAGCTTGGTGAACTTACTATAATAATATAACTAGTAATCGTATTACATGCTTGAGTGAGCGGTCATTCGTATGAGCCAATTAAGCATATTCTGATTACGTTAGTATAGAAATCTGCTTTGTTTTCATTACTTCTATTGATACAATGTTATAGCAAGGAGGTTCAAGGAAAAAAACAATTTAGTAATGTAAGCTATTTCTTTTAAATATACACTTTAAAACAAACGGACGAAAATAAAAATTGAATCGGTCGCCATGAACATCTAACGTATAGATATTCGTATTATTTGACTGTGTGCCTTGCGGTCTTCGCGGTTACCAAGTTAGTAAATCATTCAGTACTTATATAATACACTGACGCTCGAATAGTAAAAGGGAAAAAAACTATATCTGAAATATCCCATATATACGACTACACACGTGTCTCCGGTTTAAGGTTTTATCATTCATTTAGTTTATTTATTTATAACTTATTTATACAATGTGTAAGCAGCAAGGATTTTGTAAACGACTTTTAATGGATTTTTCTTTAAGGTGGTACATGTACAAAATTTTGTCCATGGGTGGTAGCATTAATCATCATTCCCTATAATACGTGGTGGGGGAAAGTATTTTAAGACATTTTATGTACATTTTTGTCAAGGATAAAATTAATGGACGAAAGGAAGGATGTCCTTGAGTAAAAGTTTTTTTTTCAACAAAACCAGTATGGTTTCTGGTAGGAGAAGAAGGAGATATACACCACCGCAATCCCCATCCCCCAAAAAGTGATTTTTTTCGCTTTCAATGAGGATTTCAATTCTCGGTACAATCTCCCTTACAAAATTGAAATGTTTGCAGCAATATTACAGCAATATTGCTGCAAACTAAAAAAATTGCGGCAACGAGTTTGCAGGAATTTGCAAGAATTTTTTATCGCTGCTAATTTTCAGTCATATTGTAGCAAAATTGCTGCAAATTTGCAAGAAAGCTATGCAGTTTCCAGCAATATTGCAGCAAATTTACTGCAAATTCGCTGCAATATTACAAGAGGCCTGATATTTTGCTAAGGGCAACTTTTTTTGTTATATTTGACTAGAGAACGTCAGGAAGGAGGTCAAGATATGCGCACCCATTCTTTGCTGGTCTGGACGTCGAATTCATGTATGCTCCCGTGCCTCATCATAACGATGAAGTTCCGGAGGGGACAGACAAGGAAGTGCTGGACCGCTTTGAGATCGATCTATATAGGTGAGTTTGGTCTCTCTCTCTCTCTCTCTCTCTCTCTCTCTCTCTCTGTATGAGCGTGAGCGTGTGTAGGCCTGTACCCAGCAGGGGTTTCTTTTTCTGAAAATGTGGATCTTTTGTCATGAAACCTTAGTTTACCTAGAGCGAATTTACCCAGAGTGGACCTTTTCCCACCAAAAAGAGGGGGGGGGGGGGGTCTTTCGAATCCCCGAACCGCCCTAGCTACAGGTCTGGTGTGCGTGTTTTAAAGGGAATTTATTGAAAGAAAAACAAAGAATTTGCAGAAAACTGCAGTCATATAGCACAGCTACAGTTTTACAATACAAAGTTGAAACGTGTGTATTTTGTCATTGCAATTTATAGTACATACTCTTTTTCAAATGATACTGAACCATACACAAATTACCACAGTAAATGCTTGCGGTATTGCATTTCCAGATATTTACTCACTCAGCAGTACGACTGTCGACAACATGTGCGTGCTGGAAGCAGGTTTGACGGAGGGTGGGAAGTCTGTTTGGATCCCCCTTTTCAGCTAAAGCAAAACTCCTGTCTGGTTTATTCATTCGGGTGAGTATCATCTTTTTAATGTAACCATGTTTATACACAATTGAATGTGTAAGAAAAGTTACATATAAGTTACATTTAAATTTTGATTGCCAATAAGACTGTGTGGAACTCCGATGCACTCTGTTACTGTTAGTAGAAGATGTATGGATGGATCTTGAAGCAAATGCCTTTTGTTTTTGCTTGTTGCATTCTATATCACTTTCTATCTTTATAGGATTAAAAACAACTGGTCTTTTGATGACTATATGGTTAAAGCAGGGTGTGAAGTACATTCATTCGATCCCACGTAAGGTCTTCTTCCTGCCTCTTCTCTCTCTCTCTCTCTCTCTCTCTCTCTCTCTCTCACACACACACACACACGCGCGGACAAAAAATATAACTCATTAATGTTATTAAGCATTTGAGATCCCGTTTAAAATTCGCAATACACTCAAGCCATATACATCATTTAATGGTACAGGCAATAAAACTCACCTCTCGGCAATGTTACCCTTCTTAGTGCATTGAAGCGGATCGATAAGGATTGAGCCACAGAAACGGACTATTTGAAAAAGTACTCGAAAAGAGAGAAAACTGTCGCTCGTGTTTCTTTTAAAAATTTAGCACTGCAAAATACCCTGCACTGCAGGGATTTATAGTCCGCACAATCTCCTTAAAGTTTTAACTGTTGAACCGAAGCTGTAACTGTCAACCATTAACTATCCTTTTAGACGCTCCTGAGAATATTTCGAAAATAGAATCCATATCCAACAAGAGAAATATAACAGATTGTCATATTTAATTTATAAAAATCAAAAAAAAAAAAAAAAAAACACACACACAACAACCCTTTTACGCTTGACTTGTTAAATCTTCAGGATAGGGCAGGAAGACCACGTCCGCGTGCCAGGAAACATCTTCCATAACTTGGGCCTTGAGGGATGGAACGGTAAAAAACCTATACTTGGAAGACGACGGCCGGTGAATACGCTAGGAACTATTATAAAAACGCTAGGACATGAAAATGTTCGTACTACCTTAACTATAAGATCTGTGTTATACATTGCTAAGTTTATTTGATTAGGTGAACGATCTAAAGCCGCACTACTTTTTGCAAAGTGTTTCTTTGTGATATTGGATCTGGGAGCATTCAGATTTAGATGTGCCCCCTCTAACAGCTAGTGGTAATTAACTTTCGTGTGCTCTTTTCTTAGCTTCTCGAGGCGTGTCAGACAATTGAGCTGATAACACTGACTGCACTTTAGCAAGGATCCCCGCAGAGTTGGATCAATCCATCTGGTACGATGTCTGAATCTAAATACTCCCTTTGTGCGCATTTTAGATATTTTGCGTAAGCGCCAAATATCTACTTTCGAAAACATTCTTAACCTTTTTCCCCTGTTTGCATTTCAGAGAATTATTGACGTTTTAAAGTTCGACATTGAGCTGTCAGAGTACACGGCTGTGCCAGTAATGCTGCAGGAAGAAAGTCTCCGCAATGTGAAACAGATGGCAATGGAGTTCCATATTCGCGTTAGCAACACACCTCCCACTTTGGAACAGATGGGCTTCCTGAAGGGGCTTAAAGAGGCAGGATTCAGAATTTATTTCTCACGGGACTGGCATCCAACACGCGAAAACTCTACTAGAACAAACAGAATGCTAGCCAATGTATTGGAGGTGCAGTTTGTCAATGTGAATTTTGTTCAATAAAGGGATAACAACTTTTTACGTGAGATTCAAAATTCCACAATAAATACATTTTAAGCAACACACAGATTTATAATAAATTCCATTTTAACAACAAAACGGCGATTATCACAATTATTCTGAAATCCGTTGGGACCACGTGGACCGCCATAAAAGGCCACCCTCCGAAATAATCTCTTAAGGTCGCAGATGATCCGCATACTAACTGATCCACGGACTAAATATTGCCGACCCCACTTACAAGCAAAGCCGTTTAATATCTTGGTCTCCCCGCCTCCACGCGGATTAAATCTCGAATTCAAGGCATCCTTGGTTGATAATCGGATTCGAGGTACCTCTGGATGATAATAAACCATTACACTAATAATAATTCAATGATGCATCTCTCATCATGCTGATTGTGCTGACAATAAATATGCCATTGAAATATATAACACATCGGTGTTTATATCTCTCGTTGCTATATATAAGCATAGGCTACTCAAAGCTTTTATCGTCAAATCACCTTTCTATTTTGAGGTGAGAAAGCAATCGGTATGAGGCGTACTTTCATCCCTGAACAAGATTTTACCACGAAAATTGGCATAGTTGACCGCAAGTCTATGTGCTTCAATCCTGTGCCATCATTTTCGTTATGCCCCTATTTCACACAGACCACGAATCCCACGAATCGCCAGGAATTGACAAATTTCAGGATTCGTGGTTGAATCGCACTTGCTCCTTCATTGCTTGAGACGTGTGTCTTGCTCAACGTGCGTCTGTATGGCTAACTCCGTTCGAGGGGAGCAAGTTACGCTTGCGGCCTCGCTGTTCGCAGGCTATTCGTAGAATCTTGTGGACATGTCCAACATCCTCAGTACGTGCTTACGGGCTGTCTGCGAACTCGAAATTGCATAAGAAGGACTTGCGTGGGACGTGAGATTCTGCGCAAAATTTGGACGCAAACAGCCCGTACGGCCGGTTGTGACCGAGGCTTAAGGCTATAGAGAAAAATTGCTGGGAGGGTTTTTTGAGTACTTCATGATGTCATAAAATGCCGTTAATACGGTGTTAGTGGGTGCTCAGGTAAAGGTAAAATCTCAATTATGACGTCACCCATAAGACCATGTGTAAATGTTAATTAATTTAGTCACTGAATACTGAAGATTAATCTGTTATCCAAAAGAATGTATGTAAGTCAGTAATAAGGGTTTTTTGTCAAAAGCTTACAGTATTGATACAATAGAGAAAAACATACTCGTAACACCAATAATACATGTACACTCGTGTAGAATCAAATCTTAATATATATATATATTGAGACTCTGTTATAATAATAATAATAATAATAATAAATATTATTATTATTATTATTATAACAGAGTCTTGCCATTACAGAGTCCTGTAATTATTATTATTATTATTATTATAATCACAACAACATATATTTCATATACTCTAATCATATTCTCAGACGAGGTACACCAATGCACCAGTTGCTTTGTTTCCAAGGTTATTCGGCACTTGTGCAGTATGCTCATAACTGAATTAGGAAACCTTCGCAAATCGAAGACCAACATATGTATTAAGTTGGTGGCCATACTGTAAAAGTACCTATTATTCTGTCTTTGGCTGAAATAATTTTTGATAACCTTTTCCCTGCTTTTCGCCAATATTTAATATTACAATATCCAAATTTCGCAAAAGAAAGAGTACATAATTGTCCCATCTTTTCTGAAACAGTTTCCTCAACTGAGAATACTTTGTCTTTTGCACAACACATTGTTTCTTGACGAAGGCGCCATTTTTCTGTAACTTGGGCGTGGTGCCGTTAGAGGGCGCCTTCGGCGGTGGATTGGACCCTGTGAAGTTGTTTCCGTGTAAAACTGGGGCGAGATCGTTGGCATCTAAAACAGAGATAGCGTCCTGAAACGTATAGATAAAAATGATTGTACGAAAATGATAACACGTGCTGGGCAGTTGATTATCTATTATCTATTTTATTTGCTGCCTCAAAACTCTAGAGTAATTTGTCTTGAGTTTTAATTGTCTGAAGTTTGGTATGGAGTTCTCTCTCTCTCTCTCTCTCTCTCTCTCTCTCTCTCTCTCTCTCTGGCAGTTGATTATCTGTTAACATGTGCTGCCTCAAAACTCTAGAGTAATTTGTCTTGAGTTTTAATTGTCAGAAGTATGGAGTCTCTCTCTCTCCAGCCGAAGGTATGGGCAGTCCATTTGGTTCCCGCCAGAAGTAGCCTGTCCTCTGTCCGCAGTGGCTACTCCACCCCCAAGTCTCCAGCCTCCCAGACGTCCAGCCAGGGAAGACCAGCTGCAGTGGACATAGGGGCAGGACTGGCCATTGGAGGTGAGATTGCGACGTTTGTGGAATGTTATCTCAGTGTGCCTATATATTGCCCATGCTCACCTCTGATTCTGCATAGAAGTCGCTGAAGACCTGTTGCCAAATAAATTATACTTTTAATTCCAACTATTTCCAATTTTACTTTTTTCCTCAGTTTTTTAACTTTCTTTACACAAAAGAGATATACCTGCACTTTACACTTCTTTCTACAAATTGAATGTGATGAAATTAATACCAGTTCAAGTAAAAGAAGATACCGGTGGATTGAGGGTTACCTCTCTTTGATCCACAAATATAAAATCGATGAGATGCACAACTTTGGGACATGTTCTAAAATGACGTGGGCCCTGTCATGAGTATAAATGACAGATGTTTGCAGAGTTCAGCAGGTCTTCTTCTAAAATATTCCAGTTTATGATGAGACCCCCATGCTTGTCAAAAGTTTTTTATAATTCATGTCCTTTTCATCTATAATTGACTTCATGAGGCTGGGAGAATATGGAATTATATGGAACTTTACATTCGCTGTGCGGCAGAGGTATGTATCGTATAGTTTCCATTGCTTTTAATTGCTACTAATTTAAAGTTAAAATCATTATTAATTCAAAGTTAAAAATTTAAAAAGTTTAAAAAGTTGATATTTATTATAATGGCCATTCTATGTATACGTGGTAATTGAAGACAGACCAGGGATGAAGATTTCACCTCTCTCTCTCTCTCTCTCTCTCTCTCTCTCTCTCTCTCTCAAAGAGGAACAAGGAGAACTGTTCAGAGACAAGTCAAAATGGATCTCAGAAAAAGTTGTTCCGTGTTTATTATTATTATTATTATTATTATTATTATTATTTTATTTTTATTTTTTTTTTTTTAATTATTGCCTATTTTTCATATTTCCAGCGAGATCCAAATCAACCGTGACAATGCTACGCGTCCCAGTCAAGATTATCATTGTAGGAGTGACAATCACCCTTTTTGTATGGAAGTTTTTGCTGAATGATGTAAGTGGTAGGCAAAAATGCATATTTTATCATCTTGGTGAACTTATTATGATAATAAAATCGTGAATCCTGTCACACGATTAAGTGGGCTGTGATTCGAATGGGCCTATAAAGCATATTCTGTTTACGTTATAATTTAAAAACCACGAAAATATAGAAATCTGCTTTGTCTTATTCCATCTGATGATACAATGTTATTGCAAAAGGGTTAAAAAAAAACCCTTGGTTCTAGTTTCTTTCAAATTTGAAAAGAAACAGACGAAAATGAAAATTGAATCGGTCGTCATAAGCATCTAACGTATAAATATTTGTATTATTCATTTGACTCTGCTTGGCGGTTACTGCAGTTACCAAGTCATAAATCATTCAGTATCAATATAAAAGTAAAAGAAAAGACGATATCTGAAATATTCCATATATGCGACTACACCCGTGTCTCTATTTTTTATCATTCATTTAGTTTATTTATTTATAACTTATTTATATAAGCAGCATGAATTTTGAACACGATTTTTTATGGATTTTTCGTTGAGGTGGTACATGGACTAACGGGGCATTTTAGGGTATTGTATGTACAGTATATATAGTTCTTTGTCAAGGAAAAGATTAATGGAAGAAAGGAAGGGTGTCCTTGGGCAAAAAAATGTTTTTTTTTCAGCAGCATTAATATGGTTTCTGGTGGGAACGAGAGGAGATATACACCACCGCCATCCCCATTCCCCAAAAAGTGATTTTTCCGCTTTCAGTGAGGATTTCAATTCTCGGCACAACCACCTTTAAAAAAAAGAAAAGTTTGCAACAACATTGCAGTATTATTGCTGCAAACTAAAAAAAATTGCGGCAACGAGTTTGCAGGAGTTACCAATAACTTTTTATTGCTGCTAATTTGCAGTCATACTGCAGCAAATTTAC